AGAAACATATTAAATCGAAAATCGAGTAATAATGTTCTGTCTATTTTAAACTCAGTTATTACGCAGTTGCCAGCCTTGATAGAAATCAAAATCGGTGTTGTGGGCGGGAGGAATTATGCTTCACTCGGCAGCCTCTTTCTAACAGACGCTAGTCTGTCGCTTCTCGGAACAATTTCCATGGCAAATGTTCATCAATTTAAATAAAGACATCTTAGGCTTTAGCTCTGCGAATTTCACATGTTTTAGTAGAATTTATTTTTGTTCCTAGGTATGTAATAGATTCAACTGATTTTATTCATTCACCTGAGACAGTTAATATTGAGCCTTGCTGGTTGAAGCCTATGAATTCAGTTTTAGAGGCATTAAAATAAAAGTCAAACTTCGTTAGAAGCATTTTTCTAGACAATGTAGAAGGACTGGCATTGGTTATGGTGGCTACAGTAATAGCTAGATCATCTGCATAGTCAATATCGGTCAACTTTTTGCAGGATATAGACTTGAGAGTCTGGGTTATAAAGTAAAACCTAGAGGATGATGTTTGTCGAAGGATGTTCTCAATATGGAGTCAAGGGTGATAATAAAGAGAAGAGATGAAATGTTTTCCCCTTGAAGGACCAAATCTTTGATTTCGCTAGTGAATTTAATGTCTCCGTCTGCGCATCTAAAGAAAAGATTCATATTAAATCAAAAATCGAGTAATACTGTTCTATTTAGTTTGAACTCGGTTAATACACAGTTACCACCCTTGATAGAGATCAAAATCAGTGTTGTGGAATGTGTGGGGAGTATTCTCCATTCTTCAGCCTCTTTCTAACAGACGCTAGTTTCTTGCTACTCGGAACTATTTCCTTCGTAAATGTTCAGATAAGCTCCTCACTTAGGTAAAAACATCTTTATGGCTCTAATATGACATGCCCCTTCCACAGTAGAATGCCAATTTTAACGAAGAAGAAATTTTTACTTTAGATATTTACCACAACTCTCATAACCGGCATCTGTATGAATTTGCCTTATGCGTCATGTTCTAACATATTTGATATCCATCCATCCTCTGTTCTCCACTTCCGCCGCCATAATTAATACTAGACATTGAATTCAACACTGCATGGTAACTGTCATAATATAAAACATTCGGACAGTTCTTACACACACTTTGTCCAGAAAAGAAAGCTCTTGTCAGAACACAAGAAAAATTAAATAAAAAGCTCCACCGCAGTACCTTGTCTGTCGTTTTTACTGAAACATGCTTATATATATATATATATATATATATATATATATATATATATTTCCAGCGTTGATAGAGATTAACATCGGTAATGTGGCGGGGGATTATTCTCCACTTTGCAGCCTCTTTTCAACAGACACTAGTCTGCCGCTACTCGGAACAATGTCCATGGCAAATGTTCAGATAAACTCCGCAAAAACACATCATTATAGCTCTGATATGACATGTCCCTTCCACAGTCGAATAACTATTTTAATGAAGAAGAAATTTTCATTTTAGACATTTACCGCAAGTGTCATTTTGTTAAAGAGTCTATGGTGTAGTTGCTTGCCTTGAAAATACAAGCTTAACATCTTCAGTGGTTATCTATCCTTCTTATTCTCATAATATTCACTTCCCATCACTTCCTCTTTCAGGCATATCACAAACTTCAGTCATCATGGCAATTTTAATATTAACTCTGTTTTAAGAGTTGCTCTCTATTTTAATAATAACTCTCTATTTTAATAGTAACTTCTCTATCTGAGTAGTTTTCGAAACCTGTTTAGCGATTTACGTGGAACAAGGCCGAATGTATGGAGCAGATAGTGAGATCGAAACTCACTAATCAGACGTAATTGATCTAGTGAGACAAGCTTGCGAACATGACCAAGCAATTTACAAACCGAAGCGCAGAGGTGGCACTAGATGCACGGAGAACTCAGTGAGAATCGAACTCACTTCTCAGACGTAATTGATCAAGCGAGACAAGCTTGCTAACCATTACACCACGGAGAAGTGACAACTTGGGGCTTGTATATGTAAAATTTTGTTAAAAAAAAATAAATAGTTTGATTGCATGACAATGGTATGAATTCATACGAATAAGTGATTCCGTATGAACAATTTCAGGCAATGTGAATAGACAGATAAACTCGACGTACAATAAAATTATGGATTTCTTGTGAATCAAATAGAAGAAAGTAAACATTAGTGAAGTGGATTTAAATGTTCTATCCTTATGGACGTCATATTAATGTCCGTGTCTCTGGGCAAGGCCTTGGAGCACAGTTATTTAATCAGCACATAACCTACATATATTGATGTCAGATTGGATTAAATCAATCTAAAGTTGGAAAATCTTTTGGGTGCGTGTACAAAATTTCCATAATACATATATCTAGTGGTACGCCGACTTCAATGTTACGTCTTTCATATCCTCAAAAGCAACTAGAGCAACTAACCTGATAAATGTGTATAAAATGGTTTAGACACATCGGCGATAGGCTGTCATGTTATAAAGGGAATCAGATATTTTTAAAAGTAGCTATACACAAATATATATTCATCTTTCTTACACCTTCTCTTTCTCTCTTCTCTCTCAAGTTTGTAAACAGTGACTATTACGGCTAATAATGCAAGACTCTTCGGTAAATCGAATCAAGTTCTCTCAGTCACTGTTTGTTTTTTCTAAAAAATAATTACACTTAAATTCACCTTCACCCCTGCCGTGCGCCAACGGCTTAGAGGTAGAATCTTCTGACTGATACCTATTCAGTTGGGTTTCGATCCTGGCTAGAGTCAACCGGACGTTTAGTCACACTGATGAGCTGTGATATATATATATATATATATATATATATATATATATATATATATATATATATAAGTGGTACTTGTTTGGAAAAGCCTGAGTTATTTCGGATTGTGATATATACTATGTATAGTATATTTGGACAGCAATCTCTCTTTTATACATGTTTCGTTAAGGGTGACTGAAAATATACTGCGATTAAGATTTACTTTTCTGGACACTAATTCCGTAAAACTGTCCAAAAATTCTGCAATATCCGTGCACTTTCGGTTATTCGATTAACCATTACCAAGAAAGAATTTTATTTTTTTTACTATTTTTCTGCATGCGTGTATTTAATATTGTATCTGAAGTTACAGGAATATTTTTCTCAATACTGTTAGTACGATGTGGCCGTGTTCATAGTTAATTTTGCTGAGTGTTGTTTTTTTTTTCATTTTTATTATTAGTGCTTCCATTATTTTTTGTAAATTTTTTTACATGTGGATGAGGCCATTATAATTGTATTTTCCACCAGTACGTTGTGGATGAAGTTTGGTACATTTCTGTGTTCAAATGAATCCTAATTGTGCTATAGACAGACAGATGTAATGTGAGTAGTCTTGATAGGACAATAGATAGGCAGTTGTATCACCAATATGGATATTTATGAGCTTAATTTGATTAGGAAAACGACTCCTTAACTGGGATGCCAACTCATAAACAATATTGAATCTCTGTAATTTATACTTGCATTCCTACAAAATCTAAATTACAGAGAAATTATTGTCAGTTGTCTTAACTAAACCTTTGTGTTTCAATCCAACTCGAAAATTTCACACAAACACACACCCATACACACACATATATGTGTATTTGTGTGCGCCTATCGCTGTATGTGTGTCTAATGCAATAGCTTTGTATGAATGCATTTCGCAAATAACGACCAGTGTACGTCGGTATGATAATGTTTTAGGTTTTGCATTTATAGTGCACGACAGTTTTTTTTTTGCACAGTTTACGTCCAGAAGAGAAATCTTCTGCAAGTTATTTCATTCACACATTCCTTTCCATAAACTGAGTGAATGTTTCTAGCCGCTTCGGCTGCTGAGTTTCCTTTCTTGAACTCATAAAGCATTATGTGCCTCAAATGATTCTTGGGTTCTTCCATGTTAGCAGGGTTTTAATGAAACAAAATTTAATTTTATTGTTCTCTGAAATAAAATTTAATCAGTTTAAATGCATCTAAACATAAAAATAATGTTCAGCTCCATTAGACATTATAAAATACTCTTTAAATTTCGTTCATATTAATAAAAAGTTAAAATTCGGACAGAACTTATGGGATGACTTGATACTAAAATCTCTGCCTAAAGTGTGAAATTTATACTATTATTGTGTTTCTCATTCCTTCAAAATTCTTTTCCTTCTCTTTCACTTTCAGAAGCCCTTTATATCTTAGTAGTACTATCACCTTGATTGTGGGGGTGAATTGATTAATAATAATAATAATAATAATAATAATAATAATAATAATAATAATGATGTAAAAAGAGAAATATGGAAGGAAAAGCGACAAAAGAAGAAAATAAAATAAAAATAAAATACACTTAAGAGATAAACATGGGCATTGAGAGAAAGAAAGTAAAAAAAATATGGTGAAAGATATAAATATTGAAGGAAAATGGCGGAAAAAAGCAACAATATAGTTTTCTAATTTAGAAGATTGGCCTGACATAACACCTATCGTCTTCCATTTGACTTATCTTCGTACTTATCTATGACTGGTAAATATTAAAAAAAAAAAAAAAAACAAGTCGGAAATTTGTGGAAAAAATGACGAGTTGGCATTAAGGTGGGTAGACATAAATAAAATAACTTTTTAGAAAACAAATTAAGAAACATGAAGGAAGTGCGAGAAAGAAAAATACAACTATAAATATGTACAGGAAAAAAAACGTAAAGTTATGACTGATATTCATATTGTCAGTATTAATACATTGTGCGTTGTTTAAAACTGAAATATATTTTAGATTTTAATTTTTTTGCGAGTGAATATTGCATTAAGTGTTTTGAGATAACAGTGATTTTATTTACATATATAAATCGTACTGTTTTACCCATAGCTGGGGAGAGGCGAGATGGATTAATAACTTTCCCAAGGGTACCTGCGTGTAAGTAAATTTAATTCCGAGTGGCTATCCTTTACACCAAGCGAACGTCCGTGTCGCGAAGAACGAATGATGGAAAATGTAGAAAGATCAAAGTAATGATATGAAAGAGAAACGTGTAAGAAAGACGTAAGATCAGAGAGCAAGACAATAAGAAAGAATGAGTGGGCACGCTCAGACGATAGATAATACGGAATGGAGAGTTAAAGTAAACAAGGAAAGAAGTGGGAATATGCAAGGATATAAAATAGAAGACAACAAATACAGAAAAAAAGAAGGAAACTTGCAAATGGAAAAATTAGTTTCTACAACTAAAGATATAATTCCCACCAACAGTGATTGCGGTATCACTGTCGATTTCTTTCCTCACTGTAATAAGAAGGAAAGGAAAGAACTAAGAAGAAAGTAAATAACTAGCTTTGATATAGGCACGTCAAATCGTCTAACTTGGAGTTGATTTTGAAATTGACGAGGATCTGTACTCTTCAGAGTTCTGACAAGAAAAAGAAAAAAAGAAAAGAGATTTCGATGTAGATGGAAAATAAATAGTAAGGAATACGCAAAATGCTTAGTTTAAGGGCATTTCAGCGTACATATATTTAAAAGTTGGTGTTCGTAGCATAGGCAATCACGTAAGAAAAAGATAACATATTTACAGACATGTGTAAGAGAGATTTAGATGTGAATTTTGTATACATACATACACACACACACACACACACACATATATATATATATATATATAGGCACACACAGAAAAATATGTGAATATGTGCGGTATATTATCTCAAAATCAAGCGGTTTTCAATCACATGGAATTTATGTATAATTAAAAAAGTGTATTTAGTGTATATATGTTTGTGTGTCTCTCTGTATATATGTGTTAGTGAGTATGGGTAACTGCATATGTGTTCCTTTGAGTGTGAGAATATATATATATATATATATATATATATATATATATATATATAAGGAAAGGAAAGAAATACTTTGATGTGTTTCTCTCTCTCTCTCTCTCTCTCTCTCTATATATATATATATATATATATATATATATATATATATATATAGATAGATAGATAGATAGATAGATAAATAGTTACATACATACATACTCACGCATTTTTATATATATATATATATATATAAATGATATATATATATATCTTCAATATATCACAATCCAAATACACTCACATATACATATATATATATATTTCAATATATGTATGCATATTTATATTGAAATGTATGTACCTTATTCTAATATATATACATATGTATCCATATATATATATATATATATATATATATATATATATATATAATTGTAATACAGGTGTTTTTTAACCTTTCTATTGCCATAAGCCTGTGATCAACCATCTGTCGCTTTCCTATGACTCTCGATATAGAACGCCACACAGGATGACAAATTTTAATTTAAAAAAATAAACAGAAACAACATAAGCGATACATAGATTTTGACACATTTATCCAAATGTAGGACATATCCAAATTCAAATCATTGGCACAGCAGTTTGTCAAAAGTTAATACACTTCAATATTACATGTTGGCACAAATGTATGATTGAAGGTATTTCTGTCATGATTTTAGAATAAATCATGTTAAATATTTTGTATTAACTCAATTGGATGAGAGATACTATTATTGTTCTCACTGTAAAAAAGAAAAATAATAAAATACAAAACAAAAAAAAATGTCTACCTATTTTTTGCAGTCTTTATCAAAATCTATTCTGGTCTGTATTTATCGGCAACTATATCTCACCTCTTATTCCACGCTGGCAAATTTATTATTCCCATATTTACTTGCTGTCATATAATTGTTATTTATCGTTGAAGAATTAGCTAAATCACCAGCACCTTCCAGAGTATTGTTTCGGTCAACAGCAACGCCACCCTTTGAACAATTATAATAATCATTTGAGTTTAGAACCAATTTGATGTCATTTGATTATTTTAACCAATGTGGCACCATGCATACCTGACGAGCTGAGAGAAATATTCATAGATATATGAATTGTTTTTTATGGTTATTTAAGGCCTAAAAAATATTTTGGGTTTTAAGAATAATTCTTTCTTTACATTCAAGCGATCTGGGAGAAAGAAAGAGAAAACGAAGAAGAAAGAAAGAAACAATAATACGAAAACAGGTCATAGGCGATCACACAGACGCACGGCTGACAGATAACAGGTGTCGAAAAATATTCATGTCAAGCATCTTACCGATTTCCGCGGATCCGCGAAAAATGGAAGTTTGTTATGTATTGGTTGTCACCCAAGGGAAAAGAAAGAAAGGGGGAAAAGAAGTGTATCTAAGGATATGAAGACAAACCATTAATACGAAAACATAGACAGTCTTCAGAATTAGAAAAAGTCCACACAAGGTGGTCACTGGCAAATTTTTTTTGAGATAATAAAGATTTTTATTATGAGACCTTCGAGCGGAGGGAAAATGAAATATTTTTATTCCGTTTCAGAAACGCCAACGAGTCTGAGAAATTCCTTTCTTAGATCATATCCAATTAGCGATAAACTGCTTGACAAATACCACGTGTTAAAAAGCCGAAAGTGTCATCTCAGTCGCTCATAATAAGGGCGATTTAAATTAATATTTTTGTTTTTTAAGCAAGGTATTTCTTTCCCAAAACAAAGCCACGGATTGTCCACGCCCGACTAAAGACGTCATTGGCTAAATAAGATCACATGACACACGAAGGAGGAGGAAAGATACCCGTCCAGGACCTCATTGGCCGAGAGCGGTCACGTGACGCACGAGGAGAATCGGTCGACGCCCTGTCAGAAGTGTAAGTGTGAGAAGCCGATACGAAGAAGTGAAGAAGCGGGTACACGCCTCTCAGAGGCACAATAAGGGAGTGGGAGTGAGAGTGAGTTACCGAAAATGGAAAAGAATGAAAAATCCTTAACCAGAAATAAGAAGAGTGGATACGTATTTAGAATTATCGAAGAACCCCTGGCGCCGACAGACCCACCCCAGTTTTGACTGCGTCAATAAAAGCGAGACCCCAACCGGCAGAAATCAGAGTTCAGCCGCGGACGGCAAGCGGAGTGGAACCTCAGGCGGCGGCCCGAGTTCGGTCGCTCACTTTGCGGGCAAGAGAGGCCAGTTCGTTTGGCCTAAGTGAAGAAGTTCGACCGACCCAAGCCGAAGAGAAGAAGTTAGTTCGCGCACCGACGGCGGAGATGAGTGACCAGTAATTCAGACTCTGGAGAGAAGAAGTTCAGTTCGTTCGACCCAAGCCGGAGAGAAGAAGTCAGATTGAGCCGCGGACCCTGGCGAGAAGTTTTGAACCTTAGACGACAAGCAGAGATGAGCGCCCAGTGTTGAAACCGCGTCAAGATAGTTGACCAAGATTCACGCACACTTCTGGACTCTTCTTCAACCAAGAAAAAGTAGTTTGAAGAGCGACTTAGAATCAGACCACAGAAATAAGTTTTTTTTCGACTTTCGTCCAAAGACACACCGAAACACAAATTTCTTAGAGAGCAGACAACATGAAGCCTTAAAGTTGCCTAGTAAAAGCGTCGTGCCACAATCCACAGAACGGGTCGGGAAGTAGACATAGTCCTATGTACCGAGCAAATAGACATAAAAAGTTTGTTACCTTTTTCTTTTGATACGTTGGACCTTGTGAGTTTTTATTTTATTTTCTTTTATACATAATTGTGTGTTATCACCCCGTTGGACTCAACTTGCATTACGGCCCCAACCCTGTTTCATCTCGTCTGTCTAAGATCAATTCACAACGTGGGTAGGCAGACTGGAGATCAGTGCAGTTACTCTGGTAACCAGGCGTTGGAAGCGGGTTGGGAACGGCGAGGCTGGTATCAATCTAACCAAAGGGTTAGAACGTCACGTTTGGAGCAGCGAGGAGCGAACAGCTGACGCCGCGGCGAAGACGTCACAGTTGGTGCTGTCCGTGACCAGGATATCAGAGCCTGGGGAGCACGTGGCGTCACAATTGGCGCCGCGACCGGGATCGAACGACACAGTCGACGCTGCGACCGAGGGACGACGTCACACCAATGTTCAAGTTTGATAAGTATTACGGTACCAATACTTTCTGATTCTTCTAAGATGAATTCCATTATATAAACCATTTAATTTCTTTACCGCTGATTTATCTGGCTTCAGTCAATCGGAATCACAAAATTAATTTCAAATGCTTATATTTATTATATCAGATATTCTCTGTTTTGTATTAATATCATTAGTTTTTATCGTCGAAACTCAAGGCATCGGCAGGATTCTCAGTATAATACTAAATTATGGCTAAATTTTCATTTGATTCATTGTATTCATTTGAGTCAATTTAATGAATTTCCGATTAGGAATAATTCTCTTGTGTTTTACATGGATGTTACGAGAAGTAACAAAAACGAAAGATTGTGAAAGTCATCATCGCAAAAGCTCCGAAGAGATAGCGATGTAAAAGAATTGTGCTTTTGTTTATTATATATTTCTTATTCAACAAAGTCTCACAATTTTCGTTTACCTCTCTTCTTGCTTTATTAGAACGTTTTGAATGACTTATCTAGGATATGACAGGCAGGACATTCGCAATTCGCAACGATACCATTTATCACCAAACAAATAATTTGTAGTGATTTAATCCTTGACTCTATCGGTAAATTTTGATCTTTTAGTTATACTTTAGTCTATTAATAAATATTGATCATTTATCTGTACTTTTTCTATAAGTAAATATTATTTGATTTTATAATTTATACTATAGGCAAATGTTGGTTTATTTATACTAGAGTCTATAGATAAATAATGTTCGTTCATACTCGGGTTCACAAGCATATATCCGACAGGTGTCTCTTTGTTAATGATGGGCTTAATATTTAATGTAGTCAGTCAGCATATTGTAGGTCCATCTGACAAAGTATCCATTTGAAAGTGCTTGACTTGGGTAATTGTTATGGTCTGGTTCCTTGTACCACGTTGATAGCCCAAGGTAGAACCAATAAAGAAGAACTCGAACACGGATAGGGAATAACACAGATATATTACAAACAGGAATATATAGAGAGAAGTAGAAAGTGTTAGTACGAACAATCAGGTTTAGTAGTAATTGTCTGAACACGACTCTGTTTCGGACTGCCTCTGACTCGACTGACTGACTCGCTCGCTCTGACTGATTGACAGACTCCTGACGGACCTCACTCCAAACTTCAGGCTGAACTCCCTGCTTCCTCTTGAGGCGCAGTATTTATTACGTATGGAATAGTCCATT